GCCGAGCGATCTGCAGGATGACACGCATGATTGGCGTTTGACGAGCCAACGTCACTTCATCTTCAGTAGCTATTATTGTTCTTATATATCAATCAACGTTGAAAATCTATGCCTGTTCAGTGTCTTCCCTACTGCTAGGTGGGTGCCTTTGTTATATAAGCCGGCAACAGCCCGCGCAAACCACCACGCGCACGCAATTCGCAAGGTTTGTACCTCTACACAACCACTTGCATCGTTACTGTGACATTCTTTCTCTTTCGCGATTAGTATGCGATCGACTGAAGCTGACAAGGTCATCTTAGAGCCGCGGTCGAAGTTCGCGGCCGGTGTCGTGATCAGTGACGTCATCGCCCTCCCCCTCACCAAACGGTCCCACCAGCGGTGTCCAGTACGGAGAAGGCACCATGAACGCAGGCATATATCGCAACTCATACTAATGGCTGTACACTTGGATGCCAACACATTGAGACTCCTTTTTGCGCAGCGCCGGGGCTTCCATGACAGCTACGCGGGATGCAGCTCTCGCGCACATCAGCGCCTGGCTCACTGAGACGCGATAACGCACAAGTTGTTCGAACGCATCTAGAGGTACCGCAAGCGGACTCTCATACATATAATCATCCTCGGCGTCTGATTTGTCTCGCAGATATGCTGTGTTGGGATGTCGCGCTCGCCATCTGTTCCTCCACCGGCGCCCCTTCACCTTGTCACGACCACCGCGGCCAGCACACCAAACGGCGTCCAGAATCGCAATGACGTCGCCAGCCACACAAGAACTATCTGCTGCCTTCTCTCTCTCGTCTTTCTTGCTATTGTCGCGTTATTGAGCCTTTACCGAGCCAGTCAGGCGCTGCTGCGCAAAAAGTGAAGGAGACCTGAAACACAACTTTTCGACCCCAACCCCCGAACCCCCGCAGAACGACGCCAGATCCCAGTCAGAACGCCAGTTCCTCGAGAGGCTGGGCCAATAGCTGGCCGCCGCCACAGTATGCGACGCCGAATCGGGTAACTGAAGTATCCACCACCACCACCTGCACCGCAGAAGATGGAGGAAAAGGTGCGGTATTTATCTACCTTCATGCTCACAGACGCTCTAACCAGCCTCCTCAATTGCTTAGATAACGACGCCGAGCCTTTCTCCCACAGAGCTCACCTTGTGGCTGTCAAAATCAATTTCTATTCGTCTCTCTTACACCACACACTACTTCCTGATTATCTTCAAGCATCTCAGCGACTACTTTCTCACTTCTTTCACACCTACGTATTCATCAACATGTCCAACAATATGGACTTCGACTTCAGCATGTTCTGCAACGACGACTTCCTCAAGGACATCCCTCTGCCGTCCGTCGAGACCTCTGGCGACGACGTCGCTCTCAACTTCGACTACGGCTTCAACGCTGGAGAGTTTGCCGGCGATATGTCGTTTGGACTTCCTGGCGGTGACCTCCTGAGTCACGCCAGGCATCTACAAGGTGCTGAGTTGGCGTCCTCTACTCTCCCCAAGGCCATCGAGACCCTCCCGGCCTCCACTTTGCCTGCCGTTCCAGGGCCTATCGAGGCAATGTGGACGCCTCTCATGAACCCAGCTCCGCCGGCAACCCCGGCCAAGAAGACCAAGGCCCCCGCCAAACCTCGCGCGACCAAGCCCAAGGCTCCTCCCAAGCCCAAGGTTGTCAAGGTGAAAGCTCCGCCCAAGCCCAGAGCTCCCAAGCCTCCCAAGGAGAAGGCCGCCAAGGTCACCAAGCCCAAGAAGCCTGCGAAGGCTCACAAGCGCACCGTCTCTGCACCCTCTGGACCCGTTCGTTGCGTCGGAGAGCTTTACCACCTCCCCTGGTCTCAACTCTCCCAAGAAGAGAAAGGCCGTCTTCTACTTCCTCTCCTCCAGGGCATTGACCCCAGCACCGGTATCAAGATCGGCGAGCCCGGCACTCTACTTCCCCCACCTGACTTCGAGATGATCGGCGAAGACCTCTTCGGCACTGGCGACAGCGGCGCCAAGCTCATGGGTACCTCATCCTCACCCTCAGAGAAGCAGCGCGGCAGCCTCACCATCACACCTTCAAGCCCTACTGCATTCCTCAGCAGCCCGGCTACCGCTACTACCACCCGCGACTCCGACGCCGAGGACGCCGCCAAGTACCGCGCTCTCATGGCAGCTCAGAAGGCGCAGATGTCTACCACCAGTTCTCCTATGTCCAACTCCGATATCAACAACATCGACATCGACATCAACAACACTGTTCAGTCATTGGGCAACGACGCCGTCAACATGGACAACTGCCTCAACAAGAACACCTCCTCTTTCGCCTCCGACTTCCAGCTCGACCTCCCCGATTTCCAGCTTGACTTGTCAGAGTTCGAGTTCAATCTCGACGACATGTCTCATCCAGCCCATCAAGGTCTCAACTCCGGTCGCGGTCTCGGCGGTCCTTGTGGAAACGGCGTCATCGGCGACCCGGCTCCGGCTCCAGCAGTTCAGCCTGTCTCTCCTGTCAACAACAACATCGATCTCTCCGACGCTGCCGCCATGCTGAACGCCCGTCGCGGTATCGGTCAGACCCCCACTCCCGCTAGCGACTATGGTCGTCTCCGTCAGATGGAGGCTCTCAAGCGCAATGCTGAGCTCCAGGCTGCTGGTCGTCGTCGCTAGATGCTTTCTGTAGTCGGCGTTGGATGGTATCATGTCATGTATCTGCTTTTCTTTCTTTTGTTGCCTTGATGGCGCGGTTGCGAGGAGCTTACTGGCTTGGACTGACTGGCACATTGGCTGGTGGGTTGGTATGGGCCTTGGTGGTGCTTACTGGAAGTGAGATGGACATGAAGATGCATGGAGATGGATATGGATACGGAACGCTCACATCGCATCACCGCTGAGCATCGGATGAGCTTGATGAGAAACTTTGACAGAAGAATATACCCATAAAACCCATCGTCTCTTCCCTTCTGCACCGCGTGACCGTGATATCTGCCCTGCTATACCAACGTCTTTGCTTCTACACCTCTTCTCACACGTCAGCATATCCACCTTACCTCTCGTGCCCTTCCACCAGCACGTTCAAAGCTTCGACTTACTTTCTCTATGCTTCTCAAACATCTCATAACAGCCTTCCTCCCACTTCCTCATCAGTTTTCCACATATCAGGTCTCCAGGCGGTACAACCTGCCCAGCGTAAACCCCAGCGAGTCCGGTCTTGCGATCAATCCACCAGATGAGATTGGGATAGCCGCCCCAAAGCATTGTCCCTGCTTTCTTTCCGTCAGGCGCGTCGTCCATCATGATCAGGCCACCGAGGGCGTAGTCTTTAGCTACGTGTTTGGGGGTACCGCCCATTGCGTTGTTCGCCTGTGTTATCATTAGCCGAACCGCCCTTGAAGAATAGAGGAGGAGGAAGTACATACCGCATCATCCTGCACAACAGCATTTAACATCGCCCGACTCCCGTCACCCAACTGCGGCTTGAAAAACACATCCAGACTCTCTTTACTCAACACCTTGCCCTCCCCTCCCTCATCGCAGTCCAACACCCCCTTCAACACCTTAATATACTCCTTCGCGCACGTAAAACTCCCCTGTCCACCCATACAACCCGTCACCTCCCCACCCTCATCATCCACAAAAGGCATCTTCCCCTCATGAACACCCAATTTCCCATCTTCACCCCTCCCCGCCATCTCCGCCATCCTGTCCTGTAAATCCGGGCGCGTGGAGGGAAAAAACGTAACATCAGTGATACCAAGCGGACCCCAAAGATTCTTCTTCATGTATTCTTCTAGTGTGAGACCGGAGATGCGTTCGACTAGTAAACCAGCGTAATCAACACCAGGCCCATACGCCCAGCTCTCGCCCGGCTGAAACACAAGCGGTGCGTTGAAGCGCTCCACAACCGTTGGTGAGGCATTCATTTTCTTCCCGTGATATTTCAGCCAGGCTAGCGTTTTCGGATGCATGCCTTCGTACGTGAGGCCGCTCGAGTGCGTCAGCAGTAGACGGAGAGTAATAGGCTTCGTGTGTTTCTCCTCAATAGGGACACCCGCGTCTGTGAAACCAGTGAGGACGTTCAATACTTCCAGTTCTGGGATACGGGGGTAGATAGGTTCGTCTAGGGTGATGTGGCCGCGTTCTACGAGTTGCATGGCGCAGAGGGCGGTCATGAGTTTGGTGCAGGATGCGACCCACATCATGGTGTTGAGGTCCATGGGTTTAGCTGAGCTGGGGTTCATAGAGGTGCTGCCGAAGGCTTTGGAGTATTTAAAAGAGCCTGGTGTTTGTTAGTACTGGAGATTGAATATTGTAATGGGAAGATGTGTAGTGTACCATCACGGCTGGTGGCCGCTAGAGCACACCCGGGGATTTCTTGCGCTGCGATGGCGTCGTTGATGGTGGTTTCGAAATCGGTCATGGTTGTGGTAAAGACTTGAGTAGTTTCATGCAAGAATGAACGTGGTGACTTGCTCCAAGCTGTATGGCTATGGTCATGTGTGTACACGTTGCGCAGGGACCGCAGGCTGCAGGGTCGAGATCGGTGTCAAGATGACAGAAGTGGTTCCAGAGATTTCCTTAGTTTTTAGGCTGCAGAGAATATCACGGACTACAACTCACGGATAAAGCGGTAACGTATACAGAGCAAGGGTTGCACGAAAACTGCCTGGTGTTTGCTGTGGTGATTCGTCCATGGCGGGCCAGGATGGGCTGCCGAGGTACACGATGCGGGGCTTGGATCCTTCAACCGCTAGTCGCGACGTCGACTAAGCCGCGAAATCCACGACTTATGAGACAATGAAGAAAGAAAGTACAGAGAAATTGTAACTTTTCCAGTTTCTACTTCCATGGCGCTTTTCAGTAGCAGAGGCGCAAGCCACGGAGACACTGTTCACGACAACACGTCCCCCTCCTGCGACATCGCATACAGTTCAGGACAACCGATTCGCCTCCAAATTACTGCTCCATGATCACTAATCTGTATTTGTATCCATGCGAGCATAACAATACAGTTCCATCACCACATCTCGAACTCGCCGATGCCGGAATCCCAATCATCCCTAGAGCAAAAGTCAGCACCACATTGTAGTCGTCAGCAGCTCTCCACATACTCATTGATAACCTGAACATTGTCCGAAGTCTTGAAAGCCCACAACATCATCATGAGGTCATCAGGTAGCCCTTGAAGCTCGGCATCTTGTTTGTAGCTATCCTCATTCCGTATAACCGCAGCCAAGCCTCGCATTTGTGTCGCTACGTCTTCAAGCTCGGGTTCAGGAGGGACGAAGTGGGTTGTCCATGGGCCAGGATCGAACTGCTCGACAGCATCAGCAAGGGTGCGATAGTCGAGGACGGTAAGGTTCTGCATTGGTATTATGTCTAGGCACTGTTAGTGACGTATTTGAGAGCTGCGGTTATGGTACTTACTACCAAGGTTGCAGTTTAGCAGATGTCCTTCATCTTCTCCGCAATCTACACATGGAAGCTGTTCAAGGCCTTTCATGTAGCTGCCCCACGGCTCGGGGATGGTCTCTACAGGCTTCTCCGTTACGCCTGCAGCTTTGGTACTCGATGGGCGTGAGTCTGATATGCTGGGCGACCGGAGGTCACTGATTGACTGCTGTTGTTTCGCCCGAGAAGCATAAGTCTGCTCGTTGTTTGTCGTGTCGCACGCTCCAGCGGCCGCGACTGGCTCTTCCATTCTTGCACCTTCGTTATAATGCGCTGGAGAGCTTGTTGGCAACGGTATCGGGCTAGACCGGCTATCGAATGACACCCGATGCGGTGCATTTGAGGGGGTCTTTGGGGTAGCATTGTGGGGCGCGTGCGGACTTGTTGATACACCGGCGATAGTATCATCATCGTCGAAAGCAAATGGCGTTGTTGGAGCTGCAACCTGCCCGTGTCCTGTGTTGGCGGAGGACCCTGTATTACGACCATCCGCTTGAATATCGTCTCTCTGCTTCGGTATCCTGTGCCTATTATATATGTCATCGAAACGTTTGTCTTGTCTTCCGCCCGTCGGAGATCGGATTGGCATGTTCGAAGAATTGGAGGCTCTTGATATCGAGGTGGTATTCTTCGGCAAAGGGCCTGCAGCACTATTGGACTGGACTTGCTGTTGCGGGGGAGCTGCGTAAGGAGGGTATGGAACAGCGGGTACGCGAGCGGACGGGTGAACCCAGTTATGTTGCGAGACTCCATTGCTGGGATTTGATGTTGCCTGTCTCGGTGACGGCTGTAATCCCCATTCTAACGCGGCTCGCGGAATCGTAGGCACATTCCCGGTGGCGGACGGATCAGGTTGTGCGGACGTCAACGGCTGCGTTGCGAAGCTTTGGGAAGGGATCTGCCCTTGGTTTGCCGCTTTGGCAGGAGGAAGTGAAACGTTGGTCTTCTCTAACGATGGAGACGTGAACGAAGACTGGCCTGTGGGCGCTATAGAAGCACTGGGTCTTTGTTTGGCGGACTTGGTCTTGGCTGCAGGCTTTGGTCGCGCTGCTTGTGATAGCTTCGCACTGCGTGCCCTGGTAACTCTGCCAACAGGGGACTTTGGCTTCTCTGGCTCTGCTTGCTGAGCTTGCGACGAAGTCGAGTGCACGGGACCTGGTGTTACTGGAGATGAGATGGGACGTTCCGGTAGCTGGATCGCAGAATCGATCGGGGTGGGCCGTTGAGCTCTGTATTTCGCCTCCCAGTACTGCTTGAGTCGTGGGTTGGTGCTGATTGGGTAGAGTGGCACTTGCCCTCTGGACGACATGGGCAGATGAAGCATCGAGCGCAATTCGTAGATCGTTTGGAGATGATGATGCGCCGTACCCGACATCGCCATCTTGAAGCTTGTATCGTTTGCGCCCCTCACCCATCTTAAATTGATCTCGTCGAACCTGTCGTCGCTGGAGTCGGCAGCTTGGAGAACATCCTCAGGTGTTGTGAAGCCGCGGGCCATTGCGCGCCGGTCATCGTCGATATGCTGGAACCTCCAATACCCGCCTTCCAAATGTGATGGGTCGATTGTCCGCACAAAGTGTAGAAATTCGCCGTTGGCACCCGTCGCAATGCCGCGGTAAGCTGAGTGGTAGGCCATGGGGACTGTCGAGTGCGTGACTCTCGATTGAGGCAGCGTGAAAGATGACGTAAAGCGAAGGAGGGTAAGTCGTCGCCGTTGAGATCAGACTGGTTGGTGTTGCATCAAGCGAGGGCAGATGGAAGTCCGCTGTGGGGAGTAGTCGGGGAAGTAAACACTGGAACGGCGCAGAAGATTGGAAGGTACGCGCAGGCACCCAACATGCAAATTTGAAAGAGCTGAAAATTTCGAGCTTAGAGGACCATTGTTTGACAAAAACATCAAAATGATCAAGAGACAGTTGCAAGCAAAGGATTAGCCATTCGCCGCATGTTTACCTCTCATATCGCGCTGCACGTGCGAGGCAGCTGCCTGAGGAGGGGGCAATTCGAGCCCACCGCTCCCATGCATACTCAGTACCTACAAAAGGAGCCGCGTGATGAGCCTAGCATGATTTCATAGGAGGCCTCGTCTGTGCATCGATGGAGACGCGAAATCAGTCAATAACAGCGTGCGAAAGCTGTCGTGACGCGGTTGCAACATTGTTATGGCCATCAGCCTGAAAGGACAAGTGAACAAGTACAAACGCATATTTTGCGTCACGGACAGACTCTAGTGGAGATATGGAAGGGGATTTGAGGAATGCGCAGGACGCTGAAAGTGTACAAGAGATGAGACGAGATGAAGTCGCGATGTGTCTCGGTGATGGTGTCAGCCGATGACGACATCGACCGCGCGCGCGCGCGCATTCCAAATCGGGCAAGTTACAAAAACCGTAGATCGCGGGTGCCTGGAGAATTACCACGCGCCGTCCGAACTTCTCCCCATCGTCTGCCACTCAGCAGCCTCCCACCGCATGCAAGCAAAGCCATCAACGGCCAAGACCCTACGCTAGGGTTAGGTCACTTACTTCGAATTCTATCATCTAAAAGCAGGCTGCAAACCTGTTTAATCTTTTCTTTTAACAACGCGCTCCATCTACAGCGTCAACCCCCCAAACCACTCCAAAATAATCCTCGTCGCCTCCGCCTCCTCACACGTCAAAACCCCCTCATCATCCCCCGTATCACCATTCGCAAACGAACTAGGCCAATCATGGCCCAAGTTCTCATACTTGTAATGCACAACCACGTCGTCCCAGCTATACCGCGTAACCTTCTTCCCTTCCTCTCCTTCACACAGATATGATGTTTTGTTCTCGTTGACGTCAAGGCCGTCTCTCTCAACCCAATCCCTCACCCACGTAGGAACGTCAGTTGAGTTTGCGTTGCCACGCGTGTTGATGCCGCCGGCGTATGGTATTGTCGTGTCCTCCAGGCCGTGGAACTCCATGATGGGGACTTGGCGGCTGGGGTTGCAGGGTAAGGGCTGCTGGTCGGCATCGAGGTAGAAAGCGCCGGATACAGGCGCGAAAGCGGCGATTCGACTGCTTGCTTCGGCGTCGCAGGCTAGCACGCCGCCGGTGAAGCCTCCGCCGTTGGATTTCCCGGTTGCGTAGATACGGGTGGAGTCGATGCAGTAGGTTGATTGGAGGTGGTCGAGGAGTTCTAGTGTGAATTTTACGTCGGAGATGGAGGGAGGGGAGTCGGGGTCGCCCTCGTATTGCTGCGTGCCTTTGCTGTTCTGGGGGTGTGTTAGCATGCGTCTACCACGCATCTAGAGACGGGTAGACGCTACCGGTACGCCTTCGGGATACGCGACGATGCCTTCGAAGCCGTAGCTGGCATTTGAGCATTGACTGAGGGCTTCTTGGTACTTTGCATCCTTGCCACGGCCATGGAAGGAGAGGATGAGTGGGACGGGGTTGTTGTTGTCGTAGGAGGGCGGGATGTGTAGACGGTATTTGCGAGGGGACACACCGCTTTCACTCTCCAATGTCAGATCGACGGACTTGTCAAGCTCAATACCATTGGGGAGTGGCTTCCCACATCCGCAGTCGGATGCGGTGTTTGGACTTGAAGCTGCGGTTGCGGCAAAGAGCACCGCTAGCATTGACGACGACGCCTTCATTTTGGTAGTTTGGGGTGGATTCGGAAGTCTTGATCGTGGCTGCATGCAGTTATATATCTCCGAGGTGGTTCAGGCGTGCAGCAACGTCACATGCGACCTTCTCTTTTTGAGGCTAGATTGCTGTAGTATGGTATCTAGCGTGATGCTAATGTACGGCCCGCCGTGCTAGTCTGTAAGCCTCATGAAAGGTGTCGATCGTAAGCCTCAGCCGTCCTACAACCCACTTTGCTATTAATAAACATAGTTTCTATCTTTCATAAGCCACCTAATGACTCTAAGTCGTAGCAGCTACGCCGAGCTCCAACGGACCCATCAACAGCGTCTTCATCCCTCAGTTCAGGCCCTCGACCACGACTTGCACCATAGCCTCACGATACTTCTTTTTCATCCCATCATCGAAGCCATCATACTCCTCTTCAGAGAACGTATTATGTCCACCCTCCACATACTCCTCAGCGACTCGTTGCTCAAGAGTACGCGCATCATCACCGTTCACGTCCAGGCGGTCGATGCTCATCTCTTCGACGGGCGCAGCGACTTGAATAAGTTCGGCCGGGTTAGGTAGATTGCCGTCTTGAGAACCTGCGGATATGTTAGTGACGCTACTCAGTTGGGCCATGCGGTGATTCGGATTACCTGTGATACCCTGACCATACTGCGCGAGGAACGCGTCTTGATCAATGTCTTCGTCAGCGACGTAACCGGCAAGCTTCTCGTTCTCGGCTTCGTGAGCGCTGATGCGCGCAAGCATCGTTTTTGCAAATGGAGGGAGGTCGTCATACTCCTGCGCCTCTTTATCCACGATCGCTGTGGGATGTTGGCCATCATCAGGATGGCAGCAGTCAACTTTCGTGCTATCGTTCGGGTCTCCTCGCTCATGTGATCTGCGCTTGCTAGAAGGCGGTGACGTACCATCCGTGTCGTGCGAGCCTGGGGTATTGCAAGGCGTGCCGATATGTTCTTTGCTACCGTCAGAATCATCTTCCTCGTCGGTCTTCTCTTCCTCGTCGCTGTCCGATCCATCGTCAATGTCGAACATTTTGCGATGCGCCTCTTCGAGCTTTTCGTCCAGCGCCTCAAGTTCCTTCTTGAACTCCGCCAGCCGCGCGTTCGACGCCGCACGAGTAACCTCATCCATGACGATCTCACCCTCGCCCGTGAGGAGAGGAACCGTGAGTGGCACCCACGCGGCATGTCCCTCCAAGTACTGCCAGAAGTCCGGCCAGAGCTTACGCAAAGCCAACTCCACTGCTGAGTGGCAGCCCTTGAGGAAGTCTGGATCAAAGTACTCCTTAGGCAGCATGCTCTTGGTCAGGCCGTGGTCTTCGCGTAGCGCAAACTGTAGTAAGCGTCTGTCGTGAACTAAGCGACTGGAAGCTGTGGAGGAGTAGAAATGTTCCTTTCCACACTTCTTCTTCCAATACGCAAGTTCTTCGTGCAGGCTATCACGCTCGACGACTGCGACATGCCAGTAATGCATCTCGAAGTCTTCGTACCATGCTCGGTAGTTGTCGATCCTGCGTTCGCACTTGGCGCGCGTATCGAGCGCCTCACGCTTGTGCCTATCGACATCTTTCAGGAGTTCGTACTTCTCGGCGATGAGTTTCCTGTTCTCTGTTTGGAGTGGGTGAATCTGGGTGAGGATCAGGCGATGCATTTCGAAAGCATGTGGGCTACTAGTGGTATTTGTAGCGCTGACCAAGGCATGACAGTTCTGGATTTGGTCTTCAAGAATCTTTTCCTGTGCTTTCAGTGACTGCACTTTGCGTTCAAGCCCAGCTACCTTGGCTAAGCGATCCTGCTCCTCAGTCTGGTATGTGAAGAGGTCCCTATCACATTGGTCCAATTTGGCTTGAATATGTCGACGTGTCTCTTGCTCCTGCTGAAGCTGAGCGCGAAGTTGTTCTGCCTGCGTGTAATACTCCGCTATAGCCTCTGCCACGATTCCGTTGACAGTGGCTCGCGGAACGCAGTCTGTGATGTTAGACACATCGCCCTGATTCGCCTTGGCAGCTGCATCAGCGATGACCTTCCGCAAATCCGAAGCGCATTCATTACACTTCGTCAATTTCTCGTTTAGGTGGGCAACTTGATCGACCGCGTCTGTGCGTTCGGCCTGCAGCGTCTCAAGCTTCTTCAGATACGCAGTCAGTCGATCTGCATTCGACTGGTTGGCATCTAGTAGATTCTGCACATCCGTCTTGAGGTTCTTGTTGTCTTTGCTCAACGCTGCGTTCTTTTTACGCAGGGCTTGATGGGTCTTGACGGCGTGCTGGGTATGCTTGGCTAGGTCTCCTTTGACCATTGCTGCGTCTAGTGTAGTCTCTAGACCAGCGATGGCGGCGTCCTTCTCTTCCAAGATCTGCACCCAATTCGCGTGGTTGTTACGAGTCTCCGCTTGGGCGATGAGGGCTGCACGCTTGATATTCTCCTCGGTATCTTCCCAGAGTTTACTTTTCTCCGCAAAATGGTCGGAAAGCTTTCGATATGTACTGCTTTGCTTCACCAAGTTGGCGTTGCAATTGCAGGCAATTGCGTCGCTGCCTTTGGTTATGGCGATATGGTTTCCGTTCATGGCAGCGGCTGCGTTGAGAGCTAACTTCAGCCGTGCTAGCTCCTCATCCTTTTGGGTGACGAATTCGGATAAGCCGTGGACTTTGGCTTCCAAACAACTATTGTCCTTGCGAAGTATAGCAATAGTGCTTGACTGCTCGTGGGATGTCGCCTCCAGTTCGGCGATCCTACGTGACCAATCGTCTATGGTCTTACGGTCCGCTCGGCGCTTTCCGCGTAAAGTATCAAGAGCGCTCCTGTCTCGTTCCTGATCATGTAGAAGTTCGGTGATCTCGCAGTCTCGTGCGGTGATGATGGCTTCCTGATCATCTAGAAGTTCGGCGATCTCGCGTTCTTGGGCGGCGATGATAGCCTCCTTGTGGTTACATGTGGCAGCCAATGCATCTGCCTTCGTGATCAGAGCGTCGACGCGTTCTCTAGCAAGCGCGTGCTCTGCG